ATACATAGCATGGAATAATCAACAATATAAAACACTTTATACCACCCTACAACTGGGAGGGTCAACACGGAATCCCTTTAGATAGTCTACATAACTAATGTTACAAAGTAGTTCATTTGTAACACTTGTTACCACTCTACAACTGGGAGTGTCAACATAGAATCCCTTTAGATAGTCTACATAACTAATGTTACAAAGTAGTTCATTTGTAACACTTGTTACCACTCTACAACTGGGAGTGTCAACATGGAATCCCTTTAGATAGTCTACATAACTAATGTTACAAAGTAGTTCATTTGTAACACTTGTTACCACTCTACAACTGGGAGTGTCAACATGGAATCCCTTTAGATAGTCTACATAACTAATGTTACAAAGTAGTTCATTTGTAACACTTGTTACCACTCTACAACTGGGAGTGTCAACATGGAATCCCTTTAGATAGTCTACATAACTAATGTTACAAAGTAGTTCATTTGTAACACTTGTTACCACTCTACAACTGGGAGTGTCAACATGGAATCCATTTAGATAGTCTACATAACTAATGTTACAAAGTAGTTCATTTGAAACACTTGTTACCACTCTACAACTGGGAGTGTCAACATGGAATCCATTTAGATAGTCTACATAACTAATGTTACAAAGTAGTTCATTTGAAACACTTGTTGCCACTGGGAATGTCAACATAATGTCCACATAACTAATATTGTAAAGTGGTTCATTTGAAAATTATTTATGTATATATTGACTCATTGAGAAATAAACATTTGTCAACCAAGTTTAGACATTAAGTTTTATGTAAGAATATCTAAAGAATTTAAGGTCTTTTTGATTTTCGATACATCTTGGTAGTCTTGATTAAACAACACTTAATAATAATAATAATAATTTATTTCTATAGCGCCTATAATCTAGCAAATGCTGCTCCATGGCGCTGTTGTACAATATGGCTTAAAGAGATCAGAATTTGAGAGCAAGAGCTCTGGTCCTATCAAAGTCCTAAAGTTCAAGGCTAACCAAAAGCTGCAACTTTTGTCGTAACAAGCACTAGCTCACATGCAAATGAAAATCATGAAGTTCTTTGTACAGAATGAGTGTATTAGAATAAGTAAATTCTATTCTTAACAGAGAAGACAAGAGAATGTTTAAAATCAATAATTCATCGAACTAGAAAGAATAATGATAGAACAATATATATATATAGAATTATAATAAACACAATAGACTTGTATTACTATAATATAACACATACAGTTCCTTATTCTAATCTCTACCCCCCAAATAAGTGTAAAAAATTCCAAAAAGAAAATCTAAAAATCAAAGAAACTAAAGTGTTCAACTTGAGTTGGTGGGTTTACTCAAATCCCTGTTCCTGAAATTGCTAAAATTGGAAAAACTGACCACATGATCAATGATCAGACAATAAATTGGGTAATTATGTAAAACTGTATCCTTTTATTGCGTAAGAAAAAGCTTTTAATTGTGGCTATACTTTAAAACATTGTACCGGTAAGCAATATTTAACTCCTTGCAATCATACTATGACACCCCTAAATACATATTAGACTGTCAAATTAAGAATTGGCATCCATATTTTTTCAATCAATCTACAACACAAGCAATCTTTTCTAAGAAATTTTACCAGAATCCACACCTGTTTTCTAATGAAATTAGCCCAGATTCTAATTATTTGCCTGATATTTTGGACTAACCAAACACAAAATACGATCTTTTCTGATTTAACCCTGATTTAACCCCTACATCTGTATCAAAACTGTATTAAAAGATAACCAAAAATCTTCCAACTCAAAAATATGCCTTTTTTCAACAAACAGTATCAACTTTTTGTTATGTCATTATATATAATTACCTTCTTCAAAAAGTTGCTATAGAATATTACCATCAGGGGTTAATTCTAATCTGCAAACAAAAAAATTATGAATATCATCATGTTGTTAAGAAAAAAATCATAGAACAATGTTTTCATAATTTAGTGCTAAAAGAGATTAAATTTAAGATCATGAAAAGAATTAAGAGAGCTCGTTGAACGACAGCGTGTTCATGATTATCAAAGACATAAGTTAAAGTTAACAAATTATTTTCAGCTTAATGTTTTTGTTTAAAAAAAATTCTTATGAAAAAAACAAAGAATGTCTATTACTCACCTTAATTCTGCAGAACTTCAGTCTTTTATACAGCAAGATGGATTTAATTGTTGTTCTGATATCAACAGAACCTGTTGAATTACCTCCCTTAGTTTGACTATTGAGAAACCCGTTTCTCATGTGGATGTTAATGACAGGTTTAGAATTTTTCTTAGGAATTTTGGGAAACATATTGAATGAGATGTTTGTAAGTAATAATGATACTTTTTACTATTTCAAATATTACACATTATATTAGGAAGTTTTAGAATCTGAGCGTTACCTCTTCAATGTTTAACTTTGTTTCAAATATAAAAATGCACTTTGTAAATTTTGCTGTGGTGCCCATAAACTTAACGTTGTTGAAGGTAAATGGAATAATATTCAATACGATAAGAGACTACTTTGTGAGATAGAAACTGCATAGAAGATGAATTTCATTTCTTTTGTGTTTGTCATAAATACGAGGATCTACGCGCACTGTATTTGAAACAGAATATAAATGTTGCATGTATTCAAACTTTTATCCACATAATGTCCAGTCAAGACACTAATGTGATCCCTGCCATTTCAAAACCTATTATCTTTGTAAATATGTCTATGTATATGTTAATATTGTAATTGGTATAAATTTTTCAATTTTTCCATTTCTGTATCAATTCAGATTGACCTTTCGGTCATATACATGTTAATAAATATCAATATTATGTAACCTTATGTCTGTAAATGTCAAAAATAAAAAATTCCTCAAATTGGCTACATTTGAGCTATAATTATTAGCAGTGTACTAGTCAGACTAAAAAAAACTGTTTTTATGAAATTTGGTATTTGCATTTTTTTTAGATTTGTATCAGTGATAGTTAAAATAATGGGTGTTAAAATATGTCATGTGTTTGTTTTAAGTTCCTTGTTTACTACAAGATATTTGGTTATTATTATTCAAATATAGAGTACCGGTAGTCTTTATTTACTTGGTCTTTTTCTTTATAGATTGATGACCATCAATGTCACTATTTTGTACTGAAAAGTGTTGGTATGCATGTATATGGGTGATATGTTTTCTGTGTTATGAACAGACATTTTATTTTGTCATGTCATGAGTTTTTTGTTCTGTATAGTTATCATGTGTCATCTATTAAAGTGGGAGTATATACCAATACATTTGGTATATTTTCAAAAGCTACTAAATATTATGGTGACAAATTTGAAAATTTGACTGTTCTGGAAATTGTTACAACCAAAAGTAGTTCAAAAAACGATTATTACTACCTCTGTTGACTTTCATGTCAAACTGAAATCCACACCAGAAGATTTATTAAAATAAATATATTATTGGTTATCAGCAGACAATCATAATTTCTATTTTTTAAGAAGTTGGCACATGCTCCCACTTTAATGTGAAATGTAACAAAATAGATAAAAGTCAGTACTTACCCTCTCGTCCCTTCAACAATGTTTCCAAGTATTTGTAACCAAACGCATAAATATCTTTTGGTTGAGATCTCAAAACTTCTCTTGCCAGACCTTCCAGGATATTTTGGAATCCTTTTGGTACTCGGATTTTGGTGTTTGAGTATGGTACAGCCATGTTATGTTTCTGAATTAAAATATTTTTAAAAAAGTATCACACAAATGTTTTACAGATTTACAGAATTTGAAACACAAAGTTTGTTCTCACAAGAAATGGCCACTGACAAAATGTTCACTGGTTAGATCTAGATACACGTTGTAATGTTTACGTTTGAAAGCCGGGAAGTACCTGCAATAAGTTTACACGTTACCAAGCAACGCAAAGGTCAAGGTCGTTACTGATCAACATTGATCATGTCTAAACAAATGAAAATAAAGATTAATCAACGAGATTAAGACTAATGCCGGGATCAAATCGTACTTGTCGCATTCAAATAGAGATACTAATCAACAAAACTGAGAGATAGTAATAAAAAAAGGCCTAGAAAATATGGTGAAGCACGATTCCATTTTTGACCCAGATTTCGCGGGAGATTCTGTTGATCAGAAATATGGAACAAAATTTCGTTGGAATAATAATAATCTAAGATCAAATCACTGAAACCCAATGCTTACAATCTTAGTTTTTAATCTTTTCATAACTTACTTGAAATACCTTCTGAAAACTCCTCAAAAAAGCAGACGAAGTTGATTTTATTTTCTCGCTTCGTTAGAAATGTAGTGGCTACAATAAATTAACACTGAAGACATTTTCTGAAGCGAAATTATTTTTATATGTCATTCTTTATCACCATTAACATTTAAACTGGTATCAATATTAGATAAACGATTAAAATCGTTTGAAATTTGATCCATTGTTGACAATTCCCGATAAGAAATCTCAATTTTCTTTACGTTTAAATTTATGTCGTTTTAGAATATATCTAGTCAGTTTCGTACATTTCTATGAAAGAACGACTGCAGAACGAAAAGGATGAATGAAATAAAACTTCTGCCGGATATTGAGACAGAACTGAGTGAAACAAAGCCTCTAGACCCTGGAAATTTTGTCTGTTCCATGTAAGATAACTTTTATGAGATGATAGCCTAGAAGTCTGGAAGGAGAAAAACATAATATTCTTTGTCACAGACATGAATTGAAGTACTCTACATCCCCACTCCACCCCTTTTCTCCTCATCCCTCCCTCCACGCTCCACCCACCCGCCCACCCACCATATCCCCTTTTTTCCCCCAATAATTTGATATTTCATAATTTCTTAATCTACTCCATCCTACTGTATATAAAACTTATGATAAGATTTAGCAACATCAGTGTTTGATTTAATCCATTAAAAGGCCTGAAATTAAAATAGCATAATTTCAGACCTTTTAATTCAAACAAAATGATTTTCTTTCAATTCGATTTCAGCTGTTTGAAAGAGAAGTCACAATATACATGTCCTAGATGTAACATAAAGTATTGTAGTTTGAACTGTTATAAAGATGAGAAACATGCCAGTTGTTCAGAATTATTCTATAAAGACTGGGTCATACAAGAACTACAGGAAACTAAAACCAGGTAGGCACAGACAGAATCCGACATTAATAAGGGAAAGACATTTTACAATAGTTCCAGTACCACATTGATCATTTCTTACCAACTGGTCTTTGGTTAAACTTCTTTCAATTCAGCTTAGATGTCTTCAGATTTAATTTTGGAATATAAGGGATATTAATGTGCTATTGAAACAGGTTTTTTGAGGTTTTTTTTTAGCATGTATCATTCATGATTTATCATGAATTCACCACCATGATTTATTCTTTAAACAGTAAGTATGAAATAAAATGTCATATACCATGAACACCAAATTAAATGACAGAAAGTGTGTTACATAAACATGGCTTTAGATCGACTACTAGGATTAAATTAAAATGATAGCAGACAAACAGAGAGTCAATTTATTGGCTTTTGAATCCAAGGCATTAATTTTGGAGGGACCAAATAGATATAATTAATAAATGTTTATTCCGAATATTCAGACCAGGTGATAAAGAGAAGATGTTAGAAATGTTATCAAGATTAGAAAATGGTAATCCAGAAGAACTAGATTCTGATGATGATAATGATGATGATGAAGAAGATCTGGAATCCAGATTGAAGGGACTAGATTTAGGTATTTGTGATACATTTTGAAGCTGCGATGCATTGGTGACTTCCAGATGCTGCTAGTGTAAAGGCTGAGCTGTTACCACATACATAGTTTCAAATCAAGAATTTTTCCCTATATACGCCATGGCAAGTAGGATTTCATCTGCAAGGTGATTAGGCACCATGTTTTTGAACTGCCCCCTTCATTATGTCTCAGCCAATGTTTTTTAGAGTTGTTCCCTTATTCACTCCAAACACTTCAATTATTAATATTATACAGTTAGAAGTTCCTTGTGTTAGAGTAACAAGCCATTAGTAAATACAAACCAAATTTTATTATTTAGATGACAGTGAAGCAGTACTTAATAAACTCACATCTAAAGAGAAGGCAGAGTTTGAGAAGTTATTAAAGGATGGCCATGTTGGTAACTTGGTGGAAGTTTGGACTCCATGGTGGAAAGAAACAAGGGTATATTGGAAATTGAATGACTTTATACTAAGGGTCTGATGTCAGACATAAGCAAAAATGTTTTTGATTTTTTTAATTAACCCTTAGATCAAGCATTTTATTGACAAATTAAGGAAAGGCCTCTGCAGCGATCCAACTAATTCTACAGATCAATTTAATTTAAACTCAAACTCAGTTGGCAAATAATGATGTTGTATGAAATGGACCTTTCTTTGTTTCCCCACCCTCCTTTTCAAGGACTTAGTCTTGACTTAGACTTTTTATTATCAAACATTTTTATCAGGAATTAATAGAAGAAGTTGATGAAAAAGGAAAAAAATCGAAGAAACAAACTAAAAGTAATAAGCCTAAACTTCTGAAAAATATACCTGATATTAACACATTGATAAAGGTATTTATTGTCTTATTATTACATAAAGTTATACCCGCTAAAGTGAAATATGTAATTGTTTCAGTGGAGATGAAAAGACAATGACTTCTAGAAAGTAATAAACGAAGAAAATTGTCCATAAAACAAGGATTGCACCCTTTACCAAAGTCTGAAATTATGTTTGAAGTAATAAAAAGATGATTTCTTGTCTTTTTACAGACTAAGCCATCGCCAGATATAAGAAATAATATGGTCAATGTTCTTTATTCTTATGCATTTGTTTGTCGTCTGCACAATGGTGGCCATTTTGATTGTCCTGTCAACAGTGCTGAGGTAGGTATATACCAAAAATCTAAATTTTCCATTCCAATAATCAGCCTATTCTCAATTTACTGTAAACTTTGGCTAATGATGTAATGATCTATGCTATTATGTATTCAATGAGGGAAATATTACTGAAATTGCAGTGTCCATTCATTGATTTTTCAACTTTGCTCTTTGGGGGTTACAGGGAGCAGTTTAGGCCCAATTCAGATGACTTTTCATTTCTTTGTAACCATCTGGTAAACATAGAGTCTGTAGCATTCTTGCTTTCTTGTATTTTCTAGGATTTGCTCAATGTATGCTGTGTTCTATCAGAGGGAAAGAATTTTATTAGTTTAGAAGAGGCTGTAGAAAATACTGTACAAAAACTTCATAAGGTATGTGATAGTCATAGTGAATTTTTGGTTGTTTTTTTTTTCAGTTTGTGGCATGATGAGTTTTGACAATTTTAAGTGAAAAAGTTTTAATGGGTCATGGAAAAGATTATTCCTTTTCTTATAGTCTGAAATTACAAAAAAAATACTGCTGTATGATGCTTGGTTCCCTAACTGTCACTTGAACCAATATTGCCAAATCACCTCTAATGCTTCTTGCAAAAGATATTTAGACATGAAATAAGTCTTGCACTATTCAGGTTGGGAATAAAAGCCAGATGCATGGGCAGAAAGATATTTATTCCCCCAAGTAAGAATCTATCATTTTTATCAGAGACTTAAGGTTATATGATCTATGATTGTTGGTTTATGTCTTCAGGAGAGCAAGCGGTTAGAGGTATCAGGTGATTTTATGGTGATTATATTAGAGGATGTAAAATGTATTATAAAAGGACCAGATAAAACTCCATCATTAGAATATATATTATTATCTCTGTCAGACATTATTACCTTATTCAAATCAGCTCGTAATCTTCTTAAAAATGGTAAGTACACATTGCACTTGAAGAAATTCTGCTACTACCAACGTTTTTCCAGTCTCCAGTCTAGGGGTACAAGCAAAATAATTCCAGTAACCAAAAATCTTGTCCAAAGCATGACAAAATTGTACAGTAGTGGACTCCTCAAACCAGAAGTACCATCAGGTGATTAAAAACAAGTATGGTCTGCTTCACACGTGACACTTGCAACTACTATATAGGTCAATATAAATATTTTATAAAAATTCATTTGAATATTACTTTTTAAAATACTACGAGATTTTCTATTTCTTCCACAGTTTATATTTGTTTAAAACATACCCTGTAAATTGGCACACAGATCTCTGAAAATATATTCTAATTTATATTTACTATTTATCTCAATTGGGTATTTTTATTTCATTCTAGAAATTAGAAAAGATGAGACCAGGAGTGAGGAATCTAGTGATAGTGAATTAAAGACGGTTATATATCAATGTGAAAAGAAATGTCTATTTTTATTAAGCTGGTGTCAGAGATATGGTATGGCTCTAGTCATTCTCCTTCCAGAGTTACAGCTTGAGATTAGTAAGTATATTTATTATTATATAAATCTCTTTTTAAATTATAAGGGCAATAACTTGTTCATCAAAACATTCAAATTTGTCTGAAGCATCTTCAATCCCATTTGACCGTCTTATAGATATAATATGACAAAATGGGGTGTGGTTTGGACACGATGCTCAAATCCATAAGAAAATTAAGCTTCTATAAAAACTGATGAATGGACATGGAAAGGGAAATGTACTCTTGAGTACAACATGTTTCAGGTTCAGTTTTAATATTTCTAGGTAGAAGACAGATAGATTTAAAACAAGTTGAAGATGGTAAAACTAAGTTGGAAGAAAAATGGGGAGGAAAAAGACCACCACCAAAGAAAGAACTGATTTCTGAACTTAAGTGATGCAAAATAAAATTTTGAAATACATTGATTATTATATTTATTTCTTCATTCGTAGACCTACTATCACACCTTTTTTATTTTCGTTGTGAAATTACAATGATTTTTCGTCAGGCAATGCCATGGAGTGTGCAATGAGATTTATTTGCCAAAACAGTGATACTGCCTGTTAATTATTTCCATTTATAGATGTTTGCCATAGACTGAGGGACACATTAAGGCTTCAGTAATTAATTAACTACGATGATTCTTTGATATTAACAAGTTTTATTGAACAATTTCTTGATAATTTCAAAGTTATTTGGTAGACAATCTACAGATTGATGATTTTCAATTTGTGAAATGATGATCTTGATAAAGTCTGTCTTTTCATTTGATTTAACTGTTTCTAAAATCTGTTCTGAGTTTTCTCGATCACATATTTTGATCAAAACTAAGCATTTTTGTGCCTCTGAAATCAGCTCAGCTTTCACACTAGTTGGAGTTGTGGTTTTGTCAGTTGAAATATCACATATAAATTTATATAAAATTTTACAAAAAAACAAAGAATACTGTGGAACTCTAGGCCATGCCACGGATAAAAATTGCTGCAATGTTTTCAAGATATTCAGCCTTGACGTTTCTTCAGGCCCGTCGAACACTTCCAAATAGGATTCAAACACACTCATTAATTTCTTAGAATGTTTGATGACAAAAATTCCTAAAATGTCCACAAACTTCGGAAGATTTGAAGTCAAAGCTCTCCTTACTAAAATTTTATTTTCAAATTCTACATCTCTTAGAATCATTTGAAACACTTTATGATGCTTTTCAATGTCATCAGGAATTTTGCCAAAAACTGGAAGCAAAGCCAAGACCGTCAGATGAAGGTTAGCAATCAGTTGTGGATCATGGTGATACATCTGTTTTTCAATAACATCAAATATGACTTCTGCTCTTCCACACCATCTCAGTTCCTCGCGTGACACATTGTCAATGATATGATGAAGACATTCCACGCCTGCACATTTATTAGTTACCTCAAAATCATCCACAAAATTCAAAGATGGTGGCAAAACTGTATCGATAAATTCACTCAAATATGGGAATTTCACTTTTGGTAACATCCATTGGAACGATTTCTGAATATTGGGGTTCTTCATCCAGTTGTGCTTCAAAAGTCTTGGTTTTATTTTTTGGAAATATTTATGAAAGTTGGTAGAGGAGACAATAGAATTTGGGCCTTCAGGAAACAAGATCTTGTTCCAGTCCCCTTTGAAGATTTTCAGTAAAGTCTGAGAAATTGATGATGACTGCTCAACTATATTGGATGTTGTCCATAAATTCAACTCTGAATTTGAAGACATCAAAACAAGCAATTCAGGTAGAACATTGCAGACGACACTTTCAATTCCAGAATGAGCTGAAGTTTCAGAATTTTCCAAGATTATTTTCAGTAAAACAAGTGCAAGTTCGGTTTTCTGAGGGTAGCCACAAAAATCAGATGACTCAAACGTATAATGTTCCCTATTAGTAAATTCAGGAATGACGGCAATGTGAATAATTTTTGACAATTTGGTGGAAACGAGCTGGATGTTTTCTTCATTTTTTAACCAGTTTTCCTGAAAATTAATCGCTTTTATGTTTGACAGTGCTTGCAGGCACTTTTCCTTTTCGATTTTTTCAATGCCATGGGTACACTCGTCCAGAATGTCAATGAAATCTTTGAAGTTTTCTGTCATATTTGAAATAGGCCTTGGACAATTACCTTCAAGCAATATTTACATTTATGGGGGCTGACATCTTGAAATGTTGCATGATGGGATAGTTGTAAGATTTTTTTAGTGGTCTAAGGGAGATAACTCCATTTAGTGATTAATGTTATCTCCCTTCAACCACAAATCTGTGTAGAATTTGTTATTATCTTGGACAAATGAAAATCGAAAAGAGAGGTGCCTATAAATTGCCCTCCCAACAAATGCCTTTATTGCGCACTGTAGACCTATGATGTAAACAAATGAAAAGTAAAACTCCCAATTTCATTACAGAGTTAAAGACACAAGTTATTCATAAGTTTTATTGTAGGTTTTATAAGGGTAGAGTCTCTATAATGATTATAATGTATCATACAAACTTGATTCTACAAGGTTCAAAAATAGAATTGATAATAATAAAATTAATAAGGTTTAAAAACATTAACATTTTGGGTTTTTTTAACAGTAAAGACATTTTTCTGTAGGCTTTCCTTACATAATGGGTAGGCCTACCAAAGTCTTAGTTCATATTCTTCTGGCAATAATTTATGATGTCATACCATAAGGCTGGATTCAATTGAATACAAACCCTTCTATGAATTACCTTATTTACAGAGGAAATCATCTAGAGCTGCAATTTTTTAGAATAATTATTAGTTTATACCAGTGACTGAAATAAGCAGATATTAAAAGTACTTTTAAAATGTGTAATGACATTTCAGAAGTTAGTATTAAGTATAATAAGTCACATGGCATGGACCTAATGTTCAAAACCATTTTAGTTGCATAGAAGACTGACATAGTAAATATCTTTTTTTCTTCAAAAATTTCTTTTAAAAAATTGGTGCACGACCATTTTGCCTGGATTGTGGCCATTGGTATTAATTTTCCAATAATTTTACAGAAAACTGTCATAAAAGTAGCCTATCGAGGGACCTTAGTAATTAGCATGTTTGCCTTATTCATCTTAACCACATTTAAAATGGTGGGCCTAGTACAAGCATGCGCATTATAATCATAATTATACAGTATTTATGGCACAATAATTTAATAGCTAGAAAGAGTAATGTATCAGACTAAATTTATATGAAAAGCAAAAATGACTAAATACTACCACCTATAATATTGAAAATATTTACAAAGGATAAAATATTTGATAATCAACAAAAACAATAATTTTTATCAACAATAACAATTTAAAAGGATACAGTTTCCATTTTTATTTTTAATCCATTACTTCTTGATGGAACTAAATAACTAAATCAATTTTAGAAATTTTTTCAGCAGGTCTTAATAGTTCAGTTCTCAAACTTATTTCATCTAACCTTTTGATAATGTCTTCTGAATATACAATTTTACATTTTCTCTTATTTTAAGGGGATTGTTAAGAGGTTTTCTAAAACATTTTATGTGTATCAGGGACACTGATAGCTTTAATTTGCACCATTCGTATTTTCATTCCAACGTCTGTGGTTCTGGCAATTCCACCTTAATTAGTGACGTCATAAAACGAGTTAGTTTCAGTGGAATTGCAAAAACCACAGACGTCGGAATGAAAATAGGAATGGTGCAAATTGAAGCTATCAGTGTTCCTGATACACAAGAAAATTTAGAAAACCTCTTTACAATCCCTTTAAGCCCATTATTATTTTGTTCATTAGCCATGCTCACTCTGATTAGCGTGTAAATATACAGATGTTCAATTCTTGTTTTTTGTGTATACTGAACGTGCCATCTGTGATCTAAACAAATTTGTTAAATAAGCATCCTATCATGACTTCTAATAATTATTTGAAAACGATACGGGATAAAGTTAACAATAAATATCCCAAAATTCCTCAAATATGGCAGACAATGCTTTTATCAAACAGTGCATTTTATTGGTTGGATATTTCAGTCATCTAGAACTTTATATATAACAAATTCATAAGATCATGGATCACAATTGGTGACATTTTTTTCATAGAAACTGAAAGAGTGCTATGTAGGTGAATAGAAAAGTTTCTAGCTAAAATAAAACTCAACAATATATACTGGGATTTAACCTTTGCAAAAAATTGTGTGCATAGTCTTAACAAATTAAATAGTAAAAATAAGCATTCAAAACACAATACTAAATGCAATAAGGACTTAAAAGGGTAATTAAACATCTTTTGGTATAAATATGACCAATATAATTAGTCACTTTTAGATAACAGACAGGACATGCAGAAATCACACGTATGATGTCAAAGGTCAAGATAAAAATGATAGTTTTCTTATGGAAAATAACATTAAATTTTACAAATATTTTGCCCTTAAAATATATTTCTATAAAAGAATATTCATTGATATTTTCATTTCATAATTATTCAAAATTTTGTACATCAGTAATATTTTTGGACTATCTGCACTAACGATGATAATCCAAAAGTATTTCTGTAAAAATATTGCAAGATCACAAGTTGTAGTCTCTGCCAATAACTAAACATGACAGATTTTCAGGCTTCTTTCATAAGAAATACAATTCTGAAGAATTTAAAATAAGTTACTTTCAATTAATTAAAATTCATTTTTGGTAAAAAAAAATATTAGACTGGGAGGGGGTGGGGGAAATTATGCCACAAAATTGAAACTAGAATAGGCAATTAATATAATTGCCTTATTGTCACTCATTTCTTAAAGGGGATTGCAATTCCATTTTCTCATAGAAACTCTATGAGTTCAGCGCCTCCAAAATCATTATTCAGAAGTGATGCCACCAGAATTTCTAAGGAAAATCTCTTTATAATCTCTGTATCAAATGTTGAAGTTTACGAGTGAACTGCTGTTACAGAAGGTGAACCTTGGCATTGAATGCCCGGCTCTTCAGACTTCAATTCTGTGGCTAAAATTTCCATACGTAAAGCTGCTGGTGCACTAATGGTGGATTCCACACTTGGTTCCTTTAAGGGAAGTAACTCTGATGCCTTATCACTTTTGTCCTGATTGCTACAGTCTATTTTCTCACTACAGTCAGATTTTTCTTTTCTTTCCATTTCATTATCATTTTGTTTAGAAATTTCGTCTGTTTTTTTATTATTTTTTTCACTTTCTAAATCTTGATTTAATATACTAAATTCATCTTCTTGAATATTGTCCGATGGGTTAGGTCCAGTTTTCTCTGTAGCAAGACCAGAGGTTACTTCTGTCCCATTGCACAACGGACTGGATAATGTAGCACATTTGTCTTGATTATCAAGTTCCGAATTCATGTCACAAGAGGCTTCAGTTTCAGTCACTTTTACAGAGGACTCAGTTTGGACAATGTCTTGGTCTATCTCTTTATTTTCAAATATATTAGTAGGCAGATCTGATTTTGACTTTTCGCTTTCCGTGGGTGGCTCAGATTTGTCAGTTTCTAATGTATCATTTGAACTCATTTCTACTTCGTACACTTCTTTATTGTCACTGTTCTCTGTTGAAGACTCACTTGATGTATTTGTGGAATCATCTAAAGATTGACCACTTGGTTGACTGTCCATTTTATTGCTTTTATCACATTTGACCTCAGCTGTTCTAGAGGTCCTATTTGACTCGAAAGAATGACCTTTGACCTCTAAACTTTGACTCCTGGCTCTTATTTCGGGGACAAGTATTTTAGCTTCAGATGGCAGGTCAGCTGGTTTTGGTATATTGGTACCAGTCACTGAAATAGTCCAATTTAAATATTAATTGCTTTGGGGATTTTATGCCAGTTCATTTTCATGGTCATACAAAATCATCTCGAACTTTTGAAAAAAGAAGAAAAATACGAAAATAAAATGATCAGCTTTATGTTTATGGACCTAGTTGCAGACACGAAAGTATTTTGTTTCACAAATATTTAAAACAACATATTTTTAAGGGGTATGGCCCAAAGTATTATTCAAAACAAAACAAACCTGAATTAGCTGGTATCAGATGTGTTATTGAATGTTTGCGGAATTTTCTACGCCGACTACCTACTATATTTTCGGGTGGTAGTTGTTCGGAAGTTTTGAGTTTAACATGGGGTGGTAAACAGGTTGTTGATTCTTCTTTTGTAACTGTAATACAATGATATTCTTCATATTTGAAGCATTGGGTATAATTATAAGAATTCATTGTATCCCGAATTTATCCCGAAATAGTCTTATTTATTAAGTATGACCAATGGTGATGTGGTTCTGGACACAATTGATTAGGATTGTCAGCTATCACATACATACAGAAGTTTAAAAATAATATCAAGAATATAAGCACAATTTGAAGTAAAACTAAAATTTTCCGATAAGAGACACAAAAATAAGTTCAAACTGGTTTCCCATTACTAAATTTGTCCCCAACAACATTTTTTTGGTCTTTTGATAACCACTACAGATAATGTCCATTTAGCCATCAGTCAGTAAAAGCCAGCATTTATTATATTAATATCTTACCTAGTGCCGAGGATTGCTTTTTTATACTACTCTCACTAAGATGTCTGGTTCTTGCAGCATTCTTCTTGCCTTTTGATAACTGTTCTAAAGAACAGGCTGGTAGGTCTGCTATATGAGCTTCTAAATCAAAATCCCTAAAAATGAAAGAATGGAAAAAACATGCAACAAAAGGTTTATGAAAAAGTATATCGATCATAGATGAAGAAGAATTTTAAAATAAACATTGGTATCAGGTGTCGAGAAGAATACCCTGTCTGGTACCACATCAATGAAATGCCTAATAAGTCTTTATGCATAAACAGAAATAAAAAAAAAACAAATGATTCAAATCACAAACAAATCCCGAAATCCAAATAACAATTTGGCACTAGTGTCGCAGTATATCAATCATAAGTGGGGAAATACTTCTTTATGAAAAGCCATATCGAGACTAAAAGGGAAAGAATGACCTGCCTGGGGTCACATCTACCATTATTGCTCATAATTACACAGTAAATAGGTAGGTTAAGAAGCTGAACATTGAATTGACCTACCCTGTTTTATATTTTTTGAGATCTTCTCCATCTTCCCCTTCGGATATCATTCTCTTACGTGATGGTTTCTTTTCAGCCACTTCTTCTACAACAGTATAGTCATCATACTCTTCACTGAAAAGGAATACATGTACATATACAAAACATTTAAGTAGTGAACTAAATCTAAAAATAGAAATTGACTTTTTACAACCATAAATCTTAATAAGTACCGAATACTCAATGCCAAAGTAAGAGAATTTGGATGGCAAAGTGATTCCTTTACCACAAATGTCTTGTGTGATCATCAAATAACTATGTACAAACAGATCATGTCTTGATGAAAAGGCTGCAAAATTAAATTCAGAATTTGTTGCTAGTTTAGTAAAACTGTAAAGGTCTCCTGTTTGACTACTTGACCTCAATGGTAATATAGTGTCGGCCATGAAAGATTACAGATTAATCATAACTTACAGTTCTTCTTCAGGAAGAGTTTTAGCCGCTTTCCTGGCGGCAAGTCTCTCTTTGGAAGGTTGAATGATACCTTCATTTATCAATGCCTGATATCTTTGACCACGGTTCCTTCTTCGAGATTTCCTCACTGGTACTGATTCATCATTTTCTAGAGATTCGGAATCTAGATGGTGCTTTAAACCTCCCTCTTTTTCCATGTCCTGGTAATCATCCATTTGTCCATCGGACATCCTTCTCTGATTTTGGATCTCTGGAATATTTTTCTCAGCAGATTGAGTTAAAGCTGTCTGGTTCTCTGGGACAGTGGCATCATGTGTCTGGCCTTCACTTTGAGCTGTAAATAGTTTATCTAAAATATGATCCACAACCATTTTTCCACAACTGACAATGTCGTTATCATTTTGATCAGCATTAGGAGATTCTTTTTGGCTCTCTTCTGTTTTCTCCTTTTCTTCCTTAACAACAGGTTTGATGTCGTCTGCAAATTTTCTTTCAACTGGAATTACGTCCCTTGGTGTTTTCATGAGCTCCACTAGAGTGTGTTTAACTTCTGCTGATAATTGTTCCTGTTTTGCAGGGTTCTCATCTCTTTCAGTCTGTTTTGGTTCACTTTTAGGTGAATCCTGCTTAGAGCTTTTGATGGAGAGATCTATAGGTTCACTGTCAGAATATGGGTGCTGGAAGGAATAGTCTGGTACTGAAGTTGGGGAAACAACTAGTTTAGAGTCCAGTGGTTGTTGGTTTATCTTCTGGATTACTTTGTTTTGGTATTCAAGTTCTTCTGGGTCATGCTCTAACTCTGATGTACACATCTGAAGATGACAACAGTACTGGTTATAAGTGCTGCATATTTTTTTTTCTATTTTAAAGCTCATAGCCTAACTCTCAAAAATAGTAAAATTGAAATCTTTATTTCAACAGTAAACTGAAACGGAAGATGTTCGATATTTCACTGATGTTGCCCAAAAAGGTACATATTTCCAACACTTACCTCTGCTAGTTCCAATAATGCTGATTTGCTAGTTCCAGGGTGATCATCTGAAGGTGATGACAGGGTTTCAGAATTATGTCTCTCACGTACCAAACCTTCATTTTTACCAGACTGCTGTCCAGCCATCAATAATAAACTCAGTCCACCCATTTTTGATGGATCTGAAATTGTAAACAAAGATTTTCAATTTACATTTTAGTGACCATCAAAAACCATCGCATTATGATACTGACTTCAAAAACCAACACATTATCATAGTGACTTCAAAAACCAATGCATTATCACAGTGACTTCAAAAACCAATGCATTATCACAGTGACTTCAAAAACCAATACACTGACTTCAAAAATCAATGCATTATCACAGTGACTTCAAAAACCAATGCATTATCACAGTGACTTCAAAACCAATGCCTTATCAAGTGACTTCAATAACCAACACATTATCATAGTGACTTCAAAAACCAATGCATTATCATAGTGACTTCAAAAACCAATTTAAAAAACCAATGCATTATCACAGTGACTTCAAAACCAATGGATTATCACAGTGACTTCAATAACCAACACATTATCATAGTGACTTCAATAACCAACACATTATCATAGTGACTTCAATAACCAACACATTATCATAGTGACTTCAAAGACCAATGCATTATAATACTGACTTCAAAAACCAATGCATTATCACAGTGACTTCAAAAACCAATGCATTACCACAGTGACTTCAAAAACCAATGCATTATCACAGTGACTTCAAAAACCAATGCATTATAATACTGACTTCAAAAACCAATGCATTATCACAGTGACTTCAAAACCAATGCCTTATCATAGTGACTTCAATAACCAACACATTATCATAGTGACTTCAAAAACCAATTTCAAAAACCAATGCATTATCACAGTGACTTCAAAACCAATGCATTACCATAGTGACTTCAATAACCAACACATTATCATAGTGACTTCAATAACCAACACATTATCATGGTGACTTCAAAAACCAAAGTATAAGATATAATTTGGGATAAAAGAGTAAAAACAGGAACCATGTCCCAGCCAAATTATTACTTACCTGCTAATTTCCCTGGTACAATACTACCATCTAAATTAATATCTACTTCATTTTTAATAACTCTAGCATTAGTTGGTCGAGTAGCCATCTTGGCTGGCGGTTGATGAATCTTATCTGGATTATGCCATTTGTAATCTGGGTTAGCTTTCATAAAGGCATCTTTATACTGTAAAAAATTCATAATTATCATTGGTAGGGATTGGATTCTGCAAAGTTTTGTAGCCGTTTTGTGTATATTGGAAACACTTTTATTTGCACCATTCTGATTTTTTTTCCCAGAGTTCATGAATGACCATAGTTTGCCTTGTTGCAGATATCAATAAATAATAATTCGAGATAAAAACAAACTTGTTGAGAAATTGAACTCAAGCAAATTGAATATCTTCATGAAGGTCTGCCTTTAAATGGCCGCCACTTCAAAAGTGACTATTATAGTTCAATAAGTAACAAGGTGAAAAGTCGTCTTCTAGGCCATTTAGGTGATCATGAAAAAATTTCTGCCTACCCTTTTCCGATTTCCAACTGTCGAGGGATCTTAACGTGCTCAGCCTGTAGCACACAGGGTTTTGGTTTTTTGTCTCATCCAAACACTTATGCAATGTCAGCTCCTCGTACCTGCATCACTGACAAGGGGAAAACCAGGTTGAAAAATCATCAAAAATGAATGAACAAAATCCAGTTGAGAATATATTTTCTGGATTATTAAGATTCAAAATGTCTAACCTGTTTAGCTAAAGTTGTATACACAGACTTTTTCTCTTCTGCTAAATTAGCCCACAAATCACCTAATATTCTTGTCACACTCCGATTATCTAAATCAGGGTTCTTTTCTCTCACCATACTTCTATGGCGCTTACAGAATATCAGGAAAGCGTTCATTGGACGTCGTACATCTTTCTTGTCTCCGTCTTGGCACTCCATGGTGCACACACCTGAAATTTAAAATTTCACTTACAATCACATTCCGAAAACAAAAACCTTTACAGAGATAACCATCTCGAAAAGTAGTAGTTTGCAGCAAATGAAAATAGGACTGGATATCAATTACTTAATTGAGATCGATTATCAATGCCAGACTACTGATCAATAATCAATTAAGAATTGAAAAAATTTAATTTAGAAACCCTGTAAATACTAAATTAAAAATATGCCAAAATTCTTTATTTCATGGGTTATTTTTGCGTCATAGAAGTATATTCTTGCTTTGATAGGTTATTATAGTTTACTGTGGGTAAGTTATGTGCTGAAGGGAACCTATGAAGAAGAGATTACTACTAATCGAAATTATAAATTCCTAGCAACTATAATCAATTATTTCAATCTCTTTACCCAGCTCTAGATGAAAGTATATTATTTTATAAGTTTCTATGTTTTCTGTGAAGAGATGAACATTGCAAGTTCTATATCATAAAAATCAATTGGGGCTTTGTACAATGTCAAATGATATACTAATGTTACTGTTAAATAATGAATGAAATTTATGAATTCCAATTTTCATAATATAGTATATGAGTAATAATGGTGAATATTCGATGTTATAAACCTGAAATGCTGTGATATAAGTTAAGACAACTGAATTTAACGTCCCATAACTCCTTGTTAATAACCGTCCTTCAATAACGGCTCGTGTTGGACTAAAAATAACCCAGATTCTGATGAAAGACACAATTAATGCTGAAGTAATTATTTTCTCAATGTCTAACTAATCATATACATTACCATTTCACGTTGACATTTCAATTTTGTTCACATTTTCATTGAATATGTACCGATTTTTAAATTCTAACGTTGACTCCACCATATTGTTGAAGAAAAGTAGACCAACACGTACGGGGCTCGCGGAAATGAGAATGAGGTGCGATGCTGACGGTGAAAACAACAAGTCAAATGACATTTTCCACTCTCGCCAGAACTCACAAATAAAACACAAAAACTGTACAATAATAACAGAAATCTGTTGTATTCTATCAAAATAAGTCACTCTAATATACAATAACAGACCGACAAAGTACCGTTATGCCACAAAACACGAAAACATTTCACCTCATTATCTATGCAAAGTTGGTGAAATTTCATGGCTACCCAAGCCACCTAACCGATCGGCAAAGCTGAACACATGCGGAGGTGAATTGTTCAATGAAAACAAGTTTGATTTTTACTCACGCTTTCATGATTGATAACTAAAAGACACTAACTTACCTTTGAAAAAAGAATTAACCGTTAACTTCTCCGATTAACATTGAAGGAATAAATGAGTTTGTTAGCGGACGAATGGGCCATTCACGATACGGGCCTGGCTTCTCCTGAACTTGAGCGAATGTGGGTCAAGGCAATTTGGTTTGTCCACAAATCTACAAGAGTCTTACGTTATTTGATCTAACAGTTTATGAAAGTGGATGATTTCATAAATAAAAGATGGTCATTTTCTCTGAAATATTTCTTCAAATGACAAAAATAATGATGGCCTAGCTGGTGTTTTTACTGAGCTCGAGGAATAAAGGCACAATGTTATTATTTCCCTTTAATAGAGTAGTAGTAAGGATAGTAAACAATGTCATACATAATGTTACATTGTACTAAGTATAATATAGGTATTGTATTTTTATGCCATTTTTTTTTTATTTTGGCCAAGATTTGTCTTATGCGGAAACAGGTAAATCCAGCATTTGAGAAAGAGTTCATTAGGCCTTCAAAAATACATAGTCGTCTTATATGCTTTTATAGTAATTGGTGTAGTCAAAAAGGGTTTCCATATTTAATTTTGGATAAGAATCCGGCACTGCCTTGGAAATAGAATCATTGTCCAAATATTTGCTTTTAACAACAGATTACTGTTGGTGCTCAATTTCAGCAACCCTTATCGCTTTAAAAATTCAAAATCCGGCTCTCGTTTCATTATAATTACAAAAACTTTTAATAGTAAGTATACTCTTTGGTCCCAGCCCCAACCCGTGCCTTTTTTTTTTAGATTAAATACATCTACCCGGCAAGTCTCTAGATTTCCCACTTCCGAAATCAGATACATGATATGAACGCGATACTTCTATCCGGCATTCTATTCCCTCTTTCTATGTCAGATACAACTAGCCGGCATATTCCCTGTGATTTGCCCCATTTCTTCCCGGTAGGTTTCCACCTCTGTAAGCCATATGCATCTACATCACATATCTCTAGCTTTCCCCATTTCCAAGTCAAATACATGGCATAGGCTAGGCTATGATTCCCATTGTCTGGTGGTATAGATATGCTCAGCACATATCCGAGGTTTCTCCCTTTCTATGTCAATTACATCTACCCGACACGGGATAGGATAGGATTCCCATTTTCTGATACAGGTACATCTACCCATCATATCTCTTAGCCTACCCTCTTTTGGTATCAAATACATCTCCCCTAAATATATATATTTTTGCCCCTCCCCCTTCTATTTCAGTTGCATCTACCCTGCATAAGGTTTCCCCTATCTCTGTTAGGTTATTTTACGATTCCCCCATTTCAAGTAAACATTTTTGGTATGGCCTTATATACATGTACAGGAACAAATATTATTTATTTCATCCTATTTTAGACGTAAGACTCTTTATCATCCTTCAAATTATATTCCGGCAACACATAACGCGTTCGAACTTTAGTTCCACCCAATTTCCGGGTCAAGAGTTGAGATTATCGATTAATGAAATTCACCCAAGAGGCATTTAAATATTGCAAAAGAATACGATTATGACTTTGAGCCAGATATATCTCTTAAGGAATGTGAGCAAGCATCGAATAGCACACGACTCGTCTGTTCCTTTCGACACGATATGATACGCGTGCGTGCGTTCGAGTCGTCATGATACCATAAAGACCCTTAGGAAGGCATTCCTGAAAATGTCCAGTACTGTTTAAAGTCAAACGCTTAACTTTCTAAACTTCTTGAAATAGAATTTGTATATCAATAAAATAATTTCAGTTGAGACTAAAAAAGCTGGAAGGATTTGAAGAAAGTCTGCTAGAAATACGCGGAATCCCACGCAAATTCTTATGACTAATGCTACAAAACTTTTAAACCAATGAAAATTGTTTTTGTTGCCAGAATCTGGGGGATTCCTTGCTGTTCCACCAATTGACTCACTCCCTTATATTGTTAACAAATAAATAAATTGTAAAGAAATATAAACGTTAACACGCTTACATTTGAATGGAAAATTAAAATATCATGTCTCTTAAACAGATTTCAATTGTTCTTACATTTATTATATCGCGTTTGATACATCAAATAGATTTATATATCAATTTCTCCGACATGGGTCAAAATTATCAATGAAATCCAAGGAATGGCGACGGCCATCTTCCGTTGTGAACTCGTGAAATGACCGTCGAGCAATCGACCCTTCCTCGCCGGGTTGCGCAGGTAAATTTTCAATTTTCAATGTCCTAAAGTATGTAACAAATCATTCTGGATCTAAAAATGATCGCAACTTACCCCCACACCATTCTCAATTAGCAGGTGCGCGAAATATTCTGCGATGTAAACAAATGGAAAGTTGCCAGTTTTTACCTTGTTATTTATTTCGCCCTTTTTGCACCCATTATCTGCTTTATGACCAATACACTTTTTGAGAATGTCGAGCAAAATTGCTCACCAGATGCCTAATGCTTTCAACTAACATGAATAATTCACACTTTTTGTGAAGGGAACCTGGCATGGACACTGGCCCTAATAAGTAAAGACAGACTGACAGCCTAAAAAGGGAGGACCCCTACTGCTTCATTCACAGTGGGAATGGATTATAGAAGATATTTTCTACAATTCTAGAATTAATTACACACTATGCTACACAATCATATACAGCATAATGCTATAAGCTATAGCTCCAGCATGGCAGCAGATGAAATAATTTTTAATAAACTAATGAAATGCTCAGTGCACTTATTTTTTTGAGCAAGCTGCCACATTTAATAAACATAGGAGATATTCATATCTATCAACTTAACAACGCGAAGCCACACCATAATGAGTCTACTGAGAATGATATTTCATGTCTGTGGCTGTACCACTTAATGCCAATCTGCAACTGGATTTGCAAACCAAAATCCATAGTATTGGTTATCATAGATCATGAAAATTTGGCATACAAACAAGAATAGGATAACTCACTTATCTTATATCAATGTTTTTCCCATCATGAACTAAGTGTATGATACCGAAAAGCTAAATATTTTCAATTTTGTTTTTAGTCGCGTAATAGTGATCAAAGTAATACTGGAAGTACTGTCAATGAAAGTCCAGCTGATGTAAAAGTTATTAAAGAAAGGACAGGTGTTAGTGATATTACTATTATTAATGAAGCTATAAGTGCCTGTTGTAATGAAGATGGTAGTTTTAAGTTAGAAGATGTTATTACAACCTTACAATCTGATGATACAGTTAGAAAAATCAGGGTAAGTTATTTTATTCTGATATGTTTCTTCTTGCTTCAGTGGAATCAGACCTTCATTTTCAGAAAGGTAATTGCAGGAGTTGGACAAACAGAATACACTTACAGTAGGCCCCATCCAAAGCATCTTCATTCTATGTTATTGCTTTGGAACTAAAATTCTTATATATATCCCCCCTGCCCCACCCCCTTTTTTTGAATGGAAGGATCAGCAAAATTCAGGGCCATTTCTTTTAGTTAAAATGTATAATTAATGAATATTTGTTTGAATGCTTTTCATGACTTGATGATTGGTCTATGAGATCTTTAATGGTTTAATGACTGATCTGTGAACTTTTATTATTTTGTTTGTAGACATCTAAGTTTGTGAAGGATGTTGTTGATGCTGTACCCAGATATAGTGAAACTGAAAGTAGAGCTGTGATTAAAACAACAGCTAGTAATACTGCAACAACAGCTACTGTTAGTGTAGCATCTCAATCTCAATCAACAACAGCTACTGGCTCTGGTAGGTCTATATATAATTTTCTTTATGAACTTATTTCCTTTTCAGTAGACATAAAACCATTTTTTTTGTCCCTTTTATTGAAAAGGATTCAAAGATACCAGCAGTAATGATGACATAACATGATCTTTTTTTCTGAAAAAATGGGCTATTAGAACCTATACCTTTAATATGTGATAATTATTTGTTCACTTTCGTTGTATGCAATTGTCTCATAGATAATGGATCAAAACAATTCAGTTGGTGTAAGTTATATTCTCTATGTTTACAGGTAGTGGTGTAATAGATTTAACTAAAGATACTACTGGTGATAATGAAGACCTACAGAAAGCTATTGCTGCTAGTTTACATGAAACACCAGGTATACTGGGTGGTCAGGTGACTAGAGAGGAACAAGATATCAGCAGGTACAGTTTATTCTCTGTTTCACTTGGGCCATTTTTATTGAATTTGGGCCCCACTAGAATGATATTGTGACAGATATTGCTAGCTTGACAGGACATACTTATAACGCTGGATCACCTCATACCACTCTGTGACTTTCAGCAGCATCCCTTTAAAGTTAAAGCAAATGGGAACCTTGTCAATAGGGGTTGCCTGTATTTATGATATTTATAAGTAAAGTTGATGTGTTTATATTAAAAAAAAAAAAAAAAAACAAAGTAAAAGCATGTCAATTGGCTGCTTTGACCTGTTGAAATTATGGTGCATTAAAGCAGAGAAAATCCTAACAAGGCTTCATTCACATTATTATTCATATCTCAAACAAACGAAAGGGAATTTTTTTTTGTATTTTAGGATATTAGAAGCCAGTTTAGCAGAAAGTAAAGCTGGTACTAAAAGAAAAAGAGGAGATATTTGGTTTGTAGACCCATTAAATCCTCATGAACGTAAACGTGTTGAACAGTGGCCAGTGGGGTTAAAAAATGTTGGTAATACATGTTGGTTTAGTGCGGTCATACAATCCTTATTTCATATTCGACAATTCCGACAACTGGTGTTGAATTTTGACTTTAGTTTGGCTAACGCTGATAATGGTGATGGACCTTCAACAGTAAGTTTTAATTTGAAATCAACAAATTGTGTATTTCGTTAATATTGTGTGTTGTGGATCATGAATTGTTCTAGGCATTGTCTCAATGGATTTTATGATCTGATAGATATATATCTGATGCTCTTCCAGCATGGGTTTTTCAATTGGGAATCACTTGTACAGAGTTCACATTTCTAATAGTGTTTATTGAATATTTACAGGATACTAGAAATATATCGTTTATGGAAGAATTACAATGTTTATTTGCATTGTTAGTTGGTACTAGTAAGAAATATGTTGATCCGTCCAAGCCTGTTGAAATATTAAAAGAAGCCTTTACTTCTCCTACTGGGGCCAACAATAGTCAACAGGTTGGTTCCTCTAATACTCTTCTATTTAGTTCTCATTAAGGACATAAAATTTGAGTGGAATTATTAGCCAACAGGTCTTGACTGATAAAAAGATTCAAGATGATTCGTTCTCAAACAACTTTTTGCATGATTTTTACATTTTTTTATTTTGCCTGATGATATTTGAACTAGTCGCAAAAAAACAGTCTCTCAGAGTCATGCAAAGATATTATGCTTGTGAATTAGAATGGGGTCATGGGAGAGATTTATGTTTACCATTATGTTCACCAGTGTTTCTGAGTTATTGCCCTTAATTTATATACTGCTTTATGAAATGTTGTTTGTTATTTAGGATGTGAGTGAATTTCAGCATAAATTACTAGAATGGTTAGAAGATGCTTTTAAAGTTTATGAAAATAAACCGAAAGCAAGTACGTCTCAGACAGAGTAAGTGATCTTCATTACCTACATTATTTCATTCTCAAAGACATTCATTTGCATTTTTAGTCAGATTAACAGAGTAGATAAGATTCCATTGTAACTGTAAGGTGCTGTGATGTTGGATTTATAATTCTTGATTTTGTTAAATGTAGCAAGAGATTATATTACTTACTTGATTTATACAGCAAAATCATTGGAATTAGAATTTGGGTAAAATGCAGATTTTTTTTTAAGTTTCACAACAAAAGATATAGAATTTCCTGGCTTACATACCTATCCAAGATATCCTTTTAAAACCAGTATTATTGTATTGTAGGGAAGCTAACTGTGATAATAATGTAAAAAGTCCTGTAGTTGATCTATTTTATGGTCAATTTAAGGCAGAAGGCATTCATGAAGGTAAGATGATTTCATTGGCTAAAGAATTTTTGAAAAATAGAAAACGCTAATTCAGAATTTACACATGGGACTATGTTGGAAAAACAGCTTAGTTAAATAAAATAAAAAGTTCCTTTTGTGAAAAATTGGAGGATGTTCATAAACACCTTGGACAAAATTTAAGGTAAAAATGGAAACATCCACTAAATGAAGGTAAAAAATTCAAGTACGTTTTAAGTAAAAAACCCTATATATTGTTCTTGGCAAATTTTTAAGAAGAATTGTTTTTTTTCTGGTCTCTTTCACCTGCCTTGAAAGCTCTGTTTTTTCTTTCTGAAAGCTTTGCATTATTCGTAAGTATATATGATTAAGGGAGATAACTGTGTTATTTTTGTCTTTCAGGTAAAGGGTTCTCTAATCTTGAAACATTCGGTCAGTTCCCACTACAAGTATCAGGGTTTCGAGATATACATGAAAGTTTAGAAGCGGCAACATCTCCAGCTGAAATAGAAGCTGTTAGTAGTGATGTCACCCAGAAATCAGGGCAGGAGGTTTGTTGCAATTTAGTCCTAGAGGGTTTTGATCTTTGATGGATATTGAAATAATTTTTGCATGATCAAAATAAAAAAATGTTTACTGCCTCCTTTCGTGACTAAAGTATTAATCAACTTCAGTCCTGCCATCAGTTTCTCAACTATCATACAAATCAGTAGTTGAATAGGTTGATTTGTAATTGATTTTACTGGCTGTCCAATCAGTTTAATCCGATGACTGAAACACATAAAGGGATTGTAAAGAGGTTCTTGCAATTCCACTAAAACTAACGATGTATTATGACGTCACTAGGGGGGAACTGCATAGATATTAATAGTAGTTTCCTGTAGCTCCCCCCTCTAGTGTTAGTTTTAGTGGAATTTCAAGAACCACAGACGTCAGAATGAACATTGGAATGGTGCAAATTGGAGCTATCAGTGTCACATGCACATAAAAAATTTTGGAAACCTCTTTACAATCTCTTTAAATCAATAAGGTTAAAGAAAAAAGTTACTTGATTCAAAGGCAGCATTTTACCCACCTGTTAAAAGATCGAAGGTTGACAATCAAAGACTTCTATTAACCCTGTTACATCAAGATAAACACATTTAAATAATTGTATTTACAGTTATGGTTTACTCGACTCCCTCCTGTTTTGACCTTTGAACTTTCACGATTTCAATTTAATCAACAAATTGGTCGACCAGAGAAAATCCACAATAAAATTCAGTTTCCGGAAGTGATTTATATGGATAGATATATGGAGCGAAATCAAAGTATAACTCGACAACGAAGAGAAGATGGTAAAAAATTAAAAGAACAGTTACGATGTCTTAAAGCCAAATTAGACAAGTAAGTCAAAGAGCTTGATGTTTGGGAGTTTCCATATTTAGAGATTCGTTTACTATAGTACCATCAACTTATCAGAATTATTTTAAAAATATCTTTGAATTTTAATATATAAAACTAAATGGAAAATGAATTCTTCTGCTTTGTGTTTTATGCATTATTTCAGCAGTGGACATATCTTTTGTTGTTATTATGAATTTATTTTATATTGATGCTATTGTTTGTTAGGTTTTTACGATACGGTTCTGGTAATAAAAGAGTTCCACTACAAGATGTTCTGCAATACGCTCTGGAATTCGCTCAGAGTAAAAAACATGACAGGACCTCTTCTGCCTCTAATCAAGATATTGAAATGGAATCTCCAAGAACTAATACCAACAAGTAAGATAATTCTTTGTCATTTCCAATTAACAAATGCACGACCCTATTAAAAAAAATATAGCAAGGATTGGGAACATTAGACCATAGATCCAATCCAGTTATCAGGTTCAGAAGTCTGATTGGTTTAAATTTTATTAATTGACCAATGAGATTATTTTTATCATATGGACTTAAGTTTTGCTTGAAAATTTCAGAGCTTGATATTTCATTTGTTATTTTGACGTCATTATTTGATCTTGCAGTAACGAAAGATTATCAGCAGATGTGCCAGATTTACCTGACATCGCTATGACAACATACAGTCAATCTCCTGGACCGTCTGCTCGTAGTGTTGATGGAGTTACTCCCCCTTACCCTCGCCATGTAGAAGATTCAGAATTGGAAGTTTTAGAAGGTTGTTTGAGAAGATGGAGAACTGAAGTAGAATCTGATGTTAGAGGTTTGTTTCTCTTTAGATATTAATAGAGACATTGTTGCCAGAATTATATTTCTTTGACAGAAAATACAGTGTTGCCAAAGTTATGTTATATATTGGACATTATCATGAGAGCATTGTGACATGTTGAAAAATCTTTACCATTCTAAGCAGTAACCAAGCTGTAAATAGTCTTAAATAATCTTGTGAAGATCGTGTGAAGTCAGCTGATCAAGGTACAGCTAGCTTTATTACCTATGGTTCTTTCTACAAATGGGTTGATTATTTTAAATATTGTGTTATCTGTTGTAGAATTACAAGAAAATATTTCTAGTTTAGAAGAGAAAGTGAGTGGAATGTACAGTGATGAATCTATGAAAAAGGTAGAGTTTTTAGTCAGCTTTACTTGTACTTGTTTCTGAAAAAAACATATTGTTCTGTTAAGAGAAATTTATAGTAAGCCTTGGGCTGTGTTGACATTCAGTAATCATAAATTGTCATGAGAGTACCCATAAAAAGTGTTTATTTTCAGTTCCCCTATCATTTACATGCTGTCTTAGTACACGAAGGTCAAGCTGCATCAGGTCATTACTGGGCATATATTTATGATATTCTCCGTGAGAAATGGTTGAAGTTCAATGATATAACTGTCACAGAGTCATCATGGGAGGAGCTAGAGAAAGAAGGGGTGGGAGGATATCATAATGCCAGTGCTTATTGTTTGATGTATGTTGATAGATCTAAGTTACAGTACAACACAGGTAAAGCTTTGTCTTCTTTCAAGTTGATGTTAAGCCTTTGGCCATGTCTTCCAAAAATTAATGTTCTATACTGTTCTGTAGAGGATTCTGATTACTGAGGTTGATTCTTCAAATAGAAAAAGTCTAGTCTTTGCTAGTCCTGAATTCAGTGCTTGGTTGAAAAATTAATGTTCTTAACTGTTCTGTTGGACATTATTATAACTGTGTTTGATTCATCAAGGGGGCAAAATTAACAGTTCAGCCATGCCTTATTAGTCAGTGTCTGTCAAAGTGAGGGACATATGATAACAGGGGCCAAATGTAACATACGGTTTGTTTTATGAAAATGAACACACTCATTGTCATACCAGTAAGGGATGTTAAAAAGTGGTTTTGATTGGTTTGAATTCACTGCCTCATGCTAAGCTATTTAGATAAAGTGAACCACAGTTCCGTCTGTTTATTGATAAGGGATTTATTGACCATGCCCAAAAGGGTACCTAACATTGGTAACCAATTATGTAGTCAAATGGGTTTTGTCTAATTACAGGAGATACAGCCAAATTTTTAGACAGTATGGAATGTCTTCCACCAGAATTATTTAAAATGGTAACAGAAGATAATAAATTATTTGTGAAAGAAATTCAGACGTGGAATGAAGACCAAGCCAGAAAAACGGCTGAAGCTGAGGCCAAGACTGCCTCTGAGAAGAAAATAGCAAAAAGTATGTTCATTTTAAGCCTGGCATTGGTTGTAATTAAATTTTTACTTTGATGATGCAGATCAGAGAGGTTGAAAAAGTGTTGAGCATGTGAAAACAAAACAATCGACAGTCCAACTTGCTACCCACTGAACTAATCTACTGCAAATGTGGTGTGCATCTTGTGAAAGTTGATTTCCTCTCCATTTTTGGCCCAAGTCATTTAGGGTTAAATGTTTTACAAGACATTTTATTGAAGTTTGAAGATTTTGTACAGTTAAAAGGTGTATATAAAGAACTAATTAGTAAAGATAATTAATAATTCTGTTTCAGATCAAAGTACAGCATCCACCCAGACCAGTCAAACAGCCTTGAGATATTCTCTACCTATAACACATGCTAATATCTCTTTCACTGATACATTAAAAGCTGTTAAACAATATGTAGATCTTCGTGATTGTCTGCCTAAAGATTCCCTCATACAGGTAATTCACTCTTGTCTTTAATTTCAGTCTAGCCTCTTGTTTCTTTTTATCGAGCCTCAGAGGTCTAAGGTCCAAAGTTCAATCCCTGCATAATTGAAGATAATATCCCAGTTTCCCATGTCAGTGATACAGGTCAGAGTGGAATACATGGGATCGTGCAAAAAGCCTTAGTCATTAGTATTGGTCAATAATTCAAGCCCCCTTGTTCCTACACGCTGTGCATATAAGATTCCTTGACAGTTAGTTAGTAGGCCAATACTGCTCTCCGTACAGAATGTCCTTTATTTCATAAATCATGGCATTGCCGGATTTCATGTGAAGCAAAATAAGATGTAAAACACCATATCATTCCATTTTCTGTTATGGTTTGAATCTTACCCAAAAGTGCACAAATATCTCTGCTAGACTAATGTTTAATTGACATTTTATCAAATCCTCTACGTATTTCAGGCAGTTAATCAAGAATTAAAAAGATTAGCTGAATTAAGTAAAAGAGTTAGTGTTGTACTACCTCAAGATGATTTAAGATTACAACATATCTTAATATACATGGGACATAATTCAGCTGATATTAAATTACAACAGATAATAGAACTAGAACAATTCTCTTTTATTAAAGATTTAGATACATCTGAGAGGTAAGATCTTTTATATTTTCTTTTATTTATTCAGCTTATTCCCACATTTTTATTATTATTTTATAATATAATGGAAACTGAACCATGTATCAATTTATCATAACAAAGCAGGATTTATTGTAGAGGAAAAGAAATGAGAAAATTTGCTAGTGAATATGTACAAAAAATACAGAATGAATATGGCTCAGATATTTATAAACGTTTAGAGGTAAACCATTTCTTAGTTGTAGACTCTCATAAAGATTGTTCTTAGAATTTTTAAGGCAGGTTTAGCCTTGGAACAAACCTTTTGATATGCCCATGTGAAAAGTGAAGCATATATTGTCGTCACCCATGTCCATTTACTAGTTGTAGACTCTGATAAATATTTTTCCTCTAAATGACTGCGTTCACAACTTTTTTCTGCATTTCTATATGCTCTTATCATTCTATTTCTGTTCCAAATTTAGTTGAAATGGAATGTGAGGGTTAGACAGTCAAAAAATAAAATATTTCAATAGTTCAATAAAAACAAGTAAAGATTGTAGCCATTTGAAAATATTTCTGTATGTTTTCAGGACTGGCACTGTAAATATCAGTTGTATAGAGAAGTTGTATATTTATTTATTAAGGGTTTAGAGGCATATAATAAAGAAAGGTATGTTGGATAGTGGACACTTACTATTTGATTTTACAATCGGGTTTCCTCCTGTCAGTAGGAGCCGTGGTGGCTCAGTGAGTTTTACACTCGCTAATCTGAAGGTCCAATGTCTGTATATGGATTTTTCAACCCATGTCCATGTCTAGTTGTTTGGATGGGATCGTAAACTGTGTGCTACAGGCTGTGTCAAAAAAGGCTTATGCTGCTATTCTAGCACAAAAACTTACCTCATTGCAACCTGCATTAACTCAATAAGAAGCAGAAAAAGATGTAAAACTCATTATAATTATATTTATGCATTAGAATATCTCATTTTACAGATTGTTAGCAAAATGTATGAGCTGATGCTTGTTTTACTCGGCATGTCGCTCTAATGAAGTAATGTTGTAAATTTTCAGGTATGCAGAATCTCTGCCATATTTAGATAAAGCCTGGCATTGTAATATAGACTGTACAGTTAATGGTAAACATGAAGGATTAGGTGTAAATAAGAATATATTGGCCTATTTTAGACGTACTTGTTTACAGGTAAAATATTTGTTTTGATGTGTTGATTTTGGGAAATATTTTGTAAAATGATTCAAGCTTCTCATAATAAAACTACTTAAAGCTCGTCTTAAGATGCTGACGTGTTTCGGATACACCGTCCTCGCCAGTTTTGGTTAATGGATGTTTATTATCCCGAAGACTATGGTAGTTTAGTCATGTGAGAAACTAAAGGAAATTCACTTAACAGGAGTAAGAACTCTACTGGAAGAATATTCTCCATTTTGAAGATCGTATCTAATTGACTAAATCTCACTTACAAAGTAACTCTGGAGAGTAAACCTGCCCTGCCACAGTATTCAGTAGGATTTCTTAGTGGGTATTGTCTGCTAGACAGTCAGGTACCATAATGAATTTCTGATGCCTAGACCAGTGCTTAAAGGAGCACCTTCACTATCCGTTCGACCAATCATACTTTAGTTTCAGAAACAGGAATTCTTTAGCTTACATAATCAGTAATAGTGTTCACAGCTTCAAATCCATGTGTATCTATAATTATTCATGTTTGAAAGTTAAAAATTCGATTCGAATTTTAGTGAGACTATGCCATATAAAAAACACATATACATGTATAGGAATAGACAGTTGAATTTCTAGTTTGAGGTATATTTGAAGGGATTATGCGATTTTCGTGCTTCTTAATACTATTAAAACACCAAGCTAAATCAGTTCCTGAAAATGCTGACTGTTCCCCTTTAAGATGGTCAACCTGCATTTGGCTCTCTCAAGCTAAATTTATTTGTTTACAGTGTTTAAATACAAGTGCAGCTGAATTATTTGAAAGTGAAGAAGATGTATCTGAAGCATTAACTCTAATGAATAGTTTGATATTACCTACTTTACCATTATTATCTTCATCTGGAGTACAACATGATGTTATAGCTGCCGAGGAGATGAAAGAGAAATGGTGTGCTTTCTTAGGAGAACAACTTTCAGGTAAGCTTATTTCTGGCATTGTTTTTCTAGTCTAACTGTATAATTTTATTTCAATAAAACATCATTAAATAAGGATGAATTTTAGATATTGTGTCTAAAATCCTCAGAAGTGAACTGTCAAGTTGTGAAAAGCCAAGATTTAGTGTACAGTGACAGACTGTATAAGAAGCAAATCATGACTACATCTTGTTAGACCTTGTACAATTTACATTCTCTCTTTCTTTATTTTTGTAACTTGTAGATTCACAGTCAACTAGAAAATGATTATTATTTTGAATTTACAAATCAAGATATATGTTTTTTCTTTTTCAGAATCAAAAATTGATAAATTACAAGATTTTTTATCCAAATTATTTGAGCCTCCATTAGAAAGTAAACGACTAAACTCACAGCAACATATACGTACAACTGATATGAATGATTTGTATTTATGTTATAAAGAAATTATGGACACTATGTGCAAATCAGGCCAAATGCAAAAAGCTTTGGCATACTTATGAATTGGATTTTAAGATGTTTTAAATCGCTTTTGGTGTAAATGGTTAAAACTCTGAATCCTGTGTATCTAAATCAGATTAAATGCAAATCTGGAAGTCCTGTGATGACTCCACCGGCCATTCATGATCTGAAGAAATTGCTATGCATCTCTGTGTCTTTTAATATTCAACCAATCAAAAGGGATTTCCTTTCTATATAGGTGAAGAATTGTTGGATATACATTATATGCCCACTTTAAACAGTTTTTTTAATAGGTTAGTGTAGATTCCCACATCTTTTGATGCTGTTAAAATTCCACAGAACATGCTTTAAAGAAGAAATGCGTCAGACCATGGATGGAAAGTGCAGAAGAAAAAAATAAAAGGAACATCCATATCTGTCATTTAATCAAAATGCTTTATTTCCTATGGAGAGAGTAATCTCTCAAGTCATCTTAACAATGATAAGCTATTACCAACTTGATCTTATACCTTGACTGCAAAAGCCACCTTACTTGAATCATAGAAGCTTGTAAAAGCATAAATTTGGTTGGATGCGTGTTAATGATTACAGCCAATCAGAGTTCTCAACTAAAAGTCATAATTTTGACAAATTCTGCAGAAGTTTATGGTTGGCTATATTCGCTGGTCTTCAAGCCATGCAAATTGATACATTCTGTGATACAAGAAAGGTGGCTGTTGCAGTCAAGGTATAAGACGAGTTTGCAATTCCTTAACCATTGTGAAGATGCTATCAATTAGATTGTATTATATTTAGAATTAAGAGTGATGTGTGGTGATGAATGATATATTGTGGCTAAGCTTGACGCACCAAGATTGATGTTGCTGGTCATCTTCACAATATCCAGCTATTACAAACCCTACGAATACAGCCACTCAGAGCCTTCGACTGTAAACATTATGGCTTATTGTTTACAGACTTTCTTATAGTATTCACTTGCGATTACAAAACGTCTGTGATAAAAGATTGGTAGCTGTTGCAGTCAAGGTATAAGATGAAGTAGGTAATAGCTTGATAATGTGAAGATGGTTTTGTTTTTTAAAACTTGCCTTTTAATGTGGAAATTTATATAATGAATGGAAAGTGCTTCTTTTTTGTCTTCGACTACCAAATGCTTATAATTATCATATATGGTCTTTGTTATTTTTGTTGGTTGATTGTCCACCAAGTTGCAATTTGCAAAATATAGTTTTAATTCTTAGCTTAGCTCTATACAGGCATCTTATTTACTAGCTCTTAGAAGTTAATATCAGATACACATGGGTAGTGCTTTTTAGAACAAAAATATGACATCATGTTCATCTACAAATATACAAGGCAGTAATTAAAGGATCATAGGATGACCAAAAATTTAAATATTTAATCTTGGCTTGACATTGCTTTGCTTTGTCTTCCGTTTTGTCACTTACAGCATTTTTTAACCTTATTTTTGTTTACATAGTAGTTGCTTTTGGATAGTAAAAATCAGATTTTCTGAATTTGTAGATTTGTCATATTTTTTCAACTACCAAAAATTACTTTTAGAAGTCCCAAAAACTTAGTATTTTAATATTTAGATATGAAATACCCTCTTTAAGACTTAAAAACACAGTCTCATAGATTAGAGAAAAACATTCTAAGGAATTTGTATCCAGAATAACATTTTGGCTATTGATTTAAAGGGACAGTTAGGCCAATTTTTTGACCAATTGATGACTCTTGAGATGTGATATATAGAAAAGACATGTGATTTTTGTACATTTCTAGTACTTCTGAAGACTATTTACATATATTCAAGACTAAAATCAACCTCCCAAAATGGCACACCTGTCTCTTTAAAGCTTTTACATTTATATGCAATTTAGCTTTGATGTAAGTTAACTATAACATACTATGTATTTTATTAAAGTTAGCATATCCCTATTTATTGTTGATGTTTTGTTAGTGTATGATATGTACATTTTAAATTATTGTTATGTATAATAGGAAAAAAAAATATACTCCATCTTTGAAAGAAACAATTATGGAAAAGGTTTGTATTATAATATAAAGATACATCATTAAAGATTATTTATATCTTTACTATCTTGTTTCTCATTGCTTGACATTTCCCATGACATTTGGAATGTCATCTTGGATAACAAAATTATCATTATAGAGGAAGTTAAGAAATTTGTTATCTAAGAATCTAAATTCCGGATAACAAAGACAAAGGTCAGGTTGGCATTATCATTATAGAAAATGTCAAGAAATTTGTTATCTAAGAATCTAAATTCTGGATAACAAAGACAGGTCAAGTTGTGGCTTCTCCCCCCAGATATATATAATAGATTTGGTGGATTCTGACAAAATGTATAGAAATCATAATTGGAAATTTCTTGGAATGGAGTGGGGTGGGGGACAAATACATTTCGGGGAGTGCAAGTGAATTAGTGCAGGCCCAGTGCAAATGATTTTTGGTTTAAACAGAACAAAAATAAATAATTGAAAGGTTAAAATCCTTTAATATAAACAATGTAATAATTAAAATACATAACAAAATTTGTCTGAATTTCAATAAATCAAAAGTAAATTACTGGGTAATAAAGCTTATTTTGTATTGAATGTAATATTCAAAGCTCAAGATCTAATATTGTCTATATCTTTAGCTTACCATTGGAATATTTTACATAAGCGAGAAAAAAAAAAAGCAAATCATTCAGTAAATTATTTACTGACTTTAAGTAAGACAATAAATTGAAGGCCAATGTGCTACCGGCTGTGCATGATCGAAATCAAATTGACACCTAGACGGCTAATCTGGTATAATTGCATACTGCAAGGCATTGCATCTTCATAAGTCACATGTACACACTTTAATATTCTATATAATAACAATTCATGTAAAATAGTGAAGTCTCAGAAATGACCATGGGTGATGTGCAATTCAACACTCAATCAAAATCTTGTACATCAGATCACAAGGCCTCAAACTTTCCATTACTAGTTCAAACCATAGGCACTTGTTTCATTGCTGAGTAGGGTTGGGCACTTTAAATACTATATCAACTATTCTACATAGCAATAGTAACAAATGCTTGTGGTTTAAAAATATTTTTGTTTTGCAACAGACATGGAATGTACAAGAATGCTTTACAGTTAATAATATATAATTTTATATTATGTACAAAAAATTTACAAAATATAATATTGTCTTTTTCTGAAAGAAAGCACCAAACTGAAATTCAACTCTTCAAAACATGATAATCTTTTAAAGAACTCTCAATTCTCTCAATATAAAACTACAGAAATAGGTTTTGAGTAAACATTACCTCTTTTGATGTAGTATTTGTTATCGTTTGATGTAGTATTTGTTATCGTTTGATGTAGTATTTGTTATCTTTTGATGTAGTTTATGTTATCTTTTTAAGAAGAATTTGTCATCTTTTGATGAGGCATTTGTTTGTCATCCTTTTGATGAGGCATTTGTTTGTCATCTTTTGATGAAGCATTTGTTATCTTTTGATAAAGAATAAATTGTTATTTTTCGATGAAGCATATGTTATCTTTTGATGAGGCATATGTTAATTTTTGATGAAGAATTTGTCTAAAATCTGAACAATCAATAACATTAATAACAAAATAGAATTAATTAATCTATCAAGATGATTACAGTCGGTGACAGACGTTAAAATCGTTAGACACAGTCCAGTCCTACCAACAAGCCAAAAATCCAGCCAAATCTGACTCTATTGATCTTCAATATAGTTAAGAATAAGTTAAATAGGGAGCCCTTTGACAGCTACTATACCATTACAATTTATATATATTACAGGGACAGGTTTGTCTGTTTGACTTGTCATACTCTCAGAAAATGGAAATTTTTATGTAACCATCAAAATTTTGTTTATCCAGACTGGACATTCATGGACATTTAGGATTGGTTGAAATTATATGCAATAAGAACATAATGATATGATTAAGAATACATGATAATTCATTAGAAACACCTATTAATCAAATAGTTTGCTTAATTTGACACTAAAAAAATAAGGAAACCCATCTTTAATACTAATTTTATTAATAAAATCAGAGTTGTATTTTTGAATTTAAATGATAACTGAAGCGGTAATTTCTTCTCTGCAGTTAATGAAAAGATTTCAATATTTATGAGGAATAAATTTGTTGAAATATTTGGGGATTGTATATACAGGATACCAGATGTATCAATTTAGAGTCCATAACACACGAATGGTGGCTATTGCAGTCAAGGTATAAGACAAAGTTTGTAATAGTTATAATATTAGGTTTTGATAGTGGAAGCTGCATTTCAGTTAAAATATTTGGTTTTGATAGTGGAAGCTGCATTTCAGTTATAATATTAGGTTTTGATAGTGGAAGCTGCATTTCAGTTGTAATATTAGGTTTTGATAGTGGAAACTGCATTTCAGTTATAATAATAGGTTTTGATAGTGGAAGCTGCATTTCAGTTATAATATTAGGTTTTGCTAGTGGAAACTGCATTTCAGTTATAATATTAGGTTTTGATAGTGGAAGCTGCATTTCAGTTATAATATTAGGTTTTGATAGTGGAAGCTGCATTTCAGTTGTAATATTAGGTTTTGATAGTGGAAACTGCATTTCAGTTATAATAATAGGTTTTGATAGTGGAAGCTGCATTTCAGTTATAATATTAGGTTTTGATAGTGGAAGCTGCATTTCAGTTATAATAATAGGTTTTGATAGTGGAAACTGCATTTCAGTTATAATAATAGGTTTTGCTAGTGGAAGCTGCATTTCAGTTATAATATTAGGTTTTGCTAGTGGATGCTGCATTCAGTTATAATATTAGTTTAAGATAATGGACATTTAATTAATAATATTAGGTTTTGATATTAGGTTAAAATTAATTAGAAAAATTTTGAATCAAAAATTTATTCGGAATTCTAAGTCCTAAAAAAATTCTTTTATAAGTATTTTTTCTGTCTGGATAATCCAAATTATAGCATTAAAAATATATTGAAGGAGTAAAAGACTTGAATAATGAGACTTTTTTTCATTTTTAATAGCGTCTAATGGTGATTGCTTAAATAGTTTTCTAGTTTGAACTTGTATGAAACTTTTAAATAGAGTCGTTTGAGCATTTCCATGGGAACTCATACGGCCAAAATGTCCTTTGGCAAACTTTTACAAAAACTAACAATTAAAGGCAATGACTGAATTACAACCCAAGTACGGAAAATAATCCAAACTATAAAATCAACCCCATCAAACAGTACTCATTATGGGAGATTCTTGAATGTCTTTCTTAACGATGTGAAAACCACCTTGACGCGAACACACAGCCCAGACGACAGCTATAGTCTCTACCATGGTAAAAACAGGAATCATTATTACTATGACTATAACCAGGACTATTAGTAATAACGTATGTCTTTTGGATGAAAATGATTTAACAGCTCCAAATGTGAAGAGAAAGGTCATGAAGCCGCCAACAAAAAGTAAAATACAGTTGATAATGGGTGACACTGTAAAGTTAAACAGGGGAATTAAGATTAAATTAAGAGTTGATAAAGGCATCACGTACCAAGACACAATAATGTTAAGTATACCAATTTTATATTTTAAGGAAATATCACTATGTAAAAGAGCCATGATAATTCCTTGGACCCATCGTTTACGTTGTTTAATGAAATCAGACACTGTAAAAGTACTTTTTTCCCACATTTCACCTTGAATCCAGCCGAATTTATATCCCTTATTCCAAGCATGAAGAGCAAAGAAGCAATCTTCTGCTATGCTGCCATTTTTTCCAAAATCGTAAGTAATGTCCCTTTCTGCTTTCACATTTGACACAACAAACGATCCTTTCCAGCTAAACAAAGGGCGATGTAAGGCACCTAGGGTGAATCGAATAATTCCATAATCCATACCAACTCGTATAGAATCAGCTAAGGTTGTAAACCAATTAACAATTTCTTCGTTGGCATAGGTTATTACCCCTTGACCAAAACTATAAGTTCCGTCATTAATAAAATTTATTATGCCTATTAAACTGTTTTCCGTTATTAAAGTTTCTTCATCTAAATGAATTATCCAATCATTATCACTCAAGATATTTACCTCCTCTTCTAAACAATACTGAAGAGCTCGAGCTTTATATAATGTGCCATTCTTGGTCTGATATTTTTCTGGGACGACTATTTCCCGCACTTGTCCCGAACTTTGAATTCCAATTGACGAATCGGTGGCTATTTCAAACACAAAATTGGTTAATCCTAATTTTATACATTTTTCGATATTGCGCTCCACGTTACGTTTAACAAGTGCTGGAAACATACCTCGCGTGACGACACGAAAACACAGAAATGGACCAAATAACACAGACGCCTTAAGTGCGGGTTTGACAGGGTGGGTGTTAAAACAGACAATACCTAAGAAATTAAATAATGCCAGAGGTAATGTTATCACAGGCAGAAAACGTATAAAAAGTAAAATGCACGCCCAAAATGTTCCGTATTCCTTAAATGGATCAATTATCTTATGAGGCTTGTTATCAAGTCTTATACTTCCACTTCCAACTCCCACAAAGATGATAAAAAGGCACAATACTAACAAGGTAAGGATGTGTCGTATATAATGATACATTTTTTCGATTCAAAAATTTCGCGATGAGAGCGGTGGGTCTATGCTAAATAGTATGAATGAATGCTAAAAACAGTACTATCAGAAGTCTGGTGGTCTTTTATGCCATGACAAATATTCAGGAGGCACCATCAATACTGTGGTTCATCTTGATTACTTCCCCTGAAAAGACAGAAAAGATTTGAATAATTCAAACAATATTCCAGAACAGAAAATAATTCCTTTCGATGTTCCTAATTAAACTGGCATGGTGCCTGCAATTCCACTAAAATTTAAGTGTTTTATGACATCAGTATCGCAAAGGGCCTTATGTAATATTAACAGCTTAAGCAAAAGTATTGTCATAAAAGTTTAAGTGGAATTGCAAGACCCATAGATATCTGACTGAAAATTTAAATATTGCAAATTGATGCTATCAGTGTCCCTGATACACATAAAAAGAATAAACCTCTTGATTCTGTAGGAATAACCTGATTCTGTAGAAATAACCTGACTCTGAAGAAATAGCTTTGAAGGAATAACCTGACTCTGTAGAAATAACCTGACTCTATAGGAATAACCTGACTCTATAGGAATAACCTGACTTTGTAGGAATAACCTGACTCTGTAGGAACAACCTGACTCTATAGGAATAACCTGACTCTACAGGAATAACCTGACTCTGCGGAATAACCTGCACTGTCGGAATAACCTGACCTGTCGGAATAACCTGACTCTGTCGGAATAACCTGACTCTGTCGGAATAACCTGACTCTGTAGGAATAATCTGACTTTGTAGGAATAACCTGACTCTGTCGGAATAACGTAGGAATAACCTGACTCTGTAGGAATAATCTGACTTTGTCGGAATAACCTGACTCTGTCGGAATAACCTGACTCTGTAGGAATAACCTGACTCTGTCGGAATAACCTGACTCTGTCGGAATAACCTGACTCTGTCGGAATAACCTGACTCTGTAGGAATAATCTGACTCTGTCAGAATAACCTGACTTTGTAGAAATAACCTATTCTATGTAACAGCAAGCAACAGATTGTTTCCAATATTATTTTATTCTGTAATCAATTCATACCATCCAGCATTCATAACAATTTCATTCTATTTTTAGCACATTATATTCATATTGATAATAATATTTATTTTTATATGAAATTAGGTGGGTCAACAAAAAACGATAACACTTTTCCAGGATTATTCATAAAGTATCAAAGCTAAGGTCATAATATTTTGAACTGACAATAATGGAGAAGTAAGGTAGCTGTTCACCAAATTTCAGCTCAAAAGGTTAAACCTGGTCAAAAAATATAATGCCAAAAAATAATAACTATAATTTCACCTCTTAAAATTGAACTAATGCTCAATGAGGTCACCATTTATGATACAAATATCTGAAATCCGATCTACATCGAGAAGATTTTGCCCTTTCAGTTCTGTCCAGAGGTATTTTGTTCCTCCAGATCATCCCCATTGTAAATTTTATCAGCTAGAGAAAACACATTGTAAACCATTGGATTGCCATCAGGGGATTGGAGCTGGCCATTCATCTTTTGTACATAACAGAAAATTTTAAATTCAGAAGGCAAAATTTTCATGGACTAAGTGGGCAGTTTCTGCTGGAAATTGTGCTCACATGACTATTTACAATAAATAGATAATAAAATAGCTTGCCAGGCAAGATAGTATTTACAATAAATAATACTTAATATTTTTCGACTCTTCTGATTTTCAATAGGGTTCATCCTTGGGTGATTACGAACACTCATACCAAGTTTTGTCAAAATCCATCAAGAATTGTGTCTTGTGGAGTGTTTGTGAGCAATTCTGAACGGTTGGACGGACATGGACAATATACGCCCCCATTTCAAATGACAATGATAAATTTCAACATTGAAATTTTTGACAGGGAATTTTAAATATGCTGCCATCTATAATCAAGGTCAAAATAATATGGCCTAAATTTATAAAAAAAAGTTTTAGTTTGTTTTTTGGAGCACCCCATATATAGCTGCACTTTATCAGCTACATACAGTGAATCTACATTCATCGATTTTCTCTGTCTTGTAACTTTTACAGAATTAAATCTGTTATCTTTTCAGGTTTCTTGTTATCAAAAAAATTTTAACAGGTGTGCCATTTTAAGGGATTGATTATAGTCTTGAATATATGTAAATAGTCTTCAGAAGTACTAGAAATGTATGAAAATCGCATAATTCCTTCAAAAATATTTCAAACTAGGAATTTCTTTAACTATTTATATATATCTTTTCTATATGACAGTGTCTCAAGAATGGACAAGTTGTCTTTTTAACTTTTAAACATGAATAATTCTGGAAACACATCGATTTGAAGGTTCAAATCAAGAGGATGATCTGTGAACACTATTACTGAATAGTTAGGTAAAAATTCACATTTCTGTGACTAAGGTACAAATAGTAACAAAAATAGGATTGTAAAGAGATTTTTATCAATTTTTTGTGTATATCCAGGACACTGAAAATATTGAAAATAAGGACCCAGGTCGTCAATACCTATTAGGATAGTGGACAACAGCCATATGCGCCCACCACGGCATGCGGATGGTAAATATTCAAGAATTTGGGACAAGGGCAATAACTCTGCATCTAACGGTCGAAAATGGCTCAAATTCGAACTTGATCTTCGTTTTATGAATATGTATAAACATACCGGATTTCAGTTGATTCCATCAAAAAATCTATTTTTTAGATAGTGTAGAGCAATTGACGTTGACGGACAGACGAACGGACCGACGGACCGATAGGGGTGCCAACAATATATGTGGCATATTAAAACTATCTTTAATGTAATACAAGGGTCAGGGAGTGGTAACTTTGTACAATATATATCACCAAGATGAGTTTAAACAGTGTAAACACTCCAGGCTATAAACTTTATAACTAACCTATATATAAGATAAAACTAAGTATATGGGGTAGTATCCTCTCGGTTGCTAACTTCTACTATTTGGATATCCTCAGCTATGATACGATACATGTGATAACAGGGATACAGTATGTACAGTGATATGAAAAGACAAGCAAAAAGTAACACTGTATCATTCATCAATCTTTTTACTGCTGTAGATATTTTTGTAAGTGTCATGGCCACAAGGCAAGTGGCATAGGATAACCTCTATATGTAAATTTCAATTTTCATATTCACAGTTTTAAATTGGAGAAGACTTGGTTCAGCGAATTCAACACATACATGCAAACAACTAAGTTGAGTGTTTATTTTGAAAAGATTTTGAATCCTAATGTCAATGACACTAGGTTATTCATTGCCATAGAGAACACGAAGTCATTTTGATAGTACAATGAAATGAATGGAATTTCCTACTATTCTGCACCATGTAGTCTAATGAAGACAGGCAATACCATGCAGGGTGCAATGAGAGAAATTTTACCAGGACAGCGGCATTAGCCTGCTCTTTCTCAATTTACAACTGTCAAGGGATCTTTAATGTGTACAGCCTGTAGCTCACAGGGCCTTGGTTTATTGTCCCATCCGAACGACTAGATGCTTTTTCCATGTCATCCCCTCTTACCTGTATCACTGACAGGGGATTGTACAATGTGCCTGTGTGCTAGAGCAAATACATGTTGAAGAACCCTTGGCTAATACAATTTGGTAAAATTTTCTTAATTGCAATCTTAATTGCATGGCAATGCCTATTTTCATTAACTCAAACAAGCACAAAAAAATCAGAATCATTAAACTCCATTTCAAATCTAGATATAGAAACCACACCCTTACCTTGAACTAACAGAAAAAAATATTGTTTTGTTAATACCTGCAGAAGACAAGTGCTCAGGCAATAAAAAGTCCAGATATCTTTCTTCAAAAATGATACTCCAGAAAACAATCTCCTGAATCTCTATCAAGCAATATCAAATTGCCTTCTGGACATATATATGTATAAATTTTATCAAACGACACCTGAGGCTATATGTGAAATAAGATCTATATCAGCCATGTTATAAGACCTTCATAACTACCTATTGTTCAGTATTAACAATAGATATATTATATATTATCAAAATAACCTCCAGCCAATATTCTCATATTGTTCTCCATCAATTACCAGTTGTTTAATGATCCTGTTAATTTTGTTTTAAGGCCATGGTTCAGTTTTTTTGGAGGTTGATTAAGGCCTTGAATATATAGTTTTCCAAATCAATACAGCTGTCTCAAAATAGCATACTGTAATTCCTTAAAAAGAGACCTGTACACTAAGAATTTTACTTCTTTCATTTTTTTCGTTTAAACCCTGCTTAAAAATTGGGGTACCAGTAAATTCTTGGTCTTGTTGATAAGGTCTATAATGGGAAATAATTTTTGATTATCCAGTCCTTGGCTTAACTGTTTTACATTATGTCAGAGTGGTTTTTTTTTCAAATCAAAGGAATGTTAGCTTAGTCATTAAATATTTGCTTTATTAGCAGGTAAATTAGAGAGATTTAGTACTTGTTTGACTTTTGCAAGTTGTTGGTGGACTTGTGTATGAGTTATTGCCCTTGATTAGTCTAAATATGCCAAAATTTGCGCATTAAAAGCTTCCGAAATTGTTTGGATTTAGACAAAACTTGGAATGGTAAGTTTGATTGTCACTAATGTTTCACTGAACTGTTTTTTTGCGTTAATCAAAAATTTCAAAATTGAGTTACAGAAAAGAAAGAAACATCTATATTGTACAAGGAAAACAACTTAGGTTCACAAATGATCTTTGACCAAACCTCATGGAAATGATCTTTGCTGCTTTATCCATACCCAATTACAGCTGGGTCGATTGGAACTATGAGTGAAGTTGACTTATTCAAAGTCATTATAATATCACACGCCAGTCGAGATAAGAACCAACAGCCATAAATTTTTAATGTAACCTAGCAAATGATGTCATAACTGTAAAGAAGCCAAGCTCTAACTGAAACCCCACAAATGTATATATATGTGAATTACACATAGCAGATCATGAATGGCATGGAA